TCAAGACTTCTCATGAGACGCATCCCATCATACACCTTATTTGACCAAACAGACAATATTTTTTTTGACAACTTGGCCACGCTTTTTCACACTGACTATTAAAATATTATATATATATATGTATATATATATATATATATATATATATATATATATATATATATATATATATATATATATATATATATATATATATAATGTTATATTGGCATTGGTTACAAACCTACAAACAAATATTTTTTTTATGTTTTATTTGCTTATAAAGCAAATAAAACATAAAAAAATTATTTGTTTGTAGGTCATTAAATAATCTCAAAATTTTCGATTTTTAAATAACTAAGTTTATATTAATTAAGCTAGGATCAAAAAACTTTGAAACATCAATTTTTTTTTTAATTCTTTGTAGTGTAACACTTTTAAATTAAAACAAAAAAACTTATTAATTTTTTTTGTTTTTTTTGTATTCATTTTAAAACTCATTAAGGCATTTTATTTATTTTTAGTTAGTTTTGCATTTTTCTCCTTTAGTTTTTTTTATTTTTCTTTCCAGTTTATAGTATTTTAATTTTAATTTTTAGTTTATATTTGTTTAAAAAAACCAAATTGTCAAAAAAAAAAAAAAAAAGCACCAAGTAGCAGAAACAAAATGAAACTCTTTTAAAACTAATAATTTTTTTATGTCCCGATGCATATTTTATAGAATACCTTAAACTCAGGAAACTCTACTACTTCTTTTATAAATACTTTTGCAGGGCAATCAAACTTCTTTGTATTTTGCAAAATAACTTTCTTTTTTTTGAAAGAATGATCTGTACCCTAATCATTAAAAATAAGTAATAGTTATATAACAATTATATACAAAAAAACCTCATATGAAATATATCAAATTATATGACAAACTTTTAACAGAATGATTTTTATTATGAATTGGAAAAAATATTTAATACAGTATATTACCAGAATATATCTGATAATATGTTTATATGTTTATATATATATATATATATATATATATATATATATATATATATATATATATATATATATATATATATATATATATATATATATATATATATATATACATATATATATATGTGTGTGTGTGTTTGTGTGTGTGTGTGTATATATATATATATATATATATACAACCCTCAAAATTAGGGTCAACATTTGGCAATGTCGACCTGAAAGTGTTTGAGGTAAGCAAAAAATTGCTGACCATGTTTCTATGTTTTTCAATAATTTATGACCTCATTTTTTCTAATTCAGAAGGTTGTATATAATATACAGGGGCTAATCTTGACCAGTGGGTCAAGATAAGCCCCTGTATATTATATACATGCCCCAATTTGGGCACCGCCAAATTCGGTTGGCAAAATTATGAACTTTTTTTATACAGCAAATGTAGCTTTTTTCGTGAAAAATACTTACATTTAGCAATATTTCCGCTACGTGTCCAGAGCTGTCGTCTATACTTTTAAAACAATTTAACAAGTGATTATCAGAGTTTTGCTTTCCATCCTGCTGGAAAGCAGCATCTGCTATCCTTATTTTTAAAAATTAAAAATAAGGATAGCAGTCTAACTACCGTCTTTTAGTCTTCTTCCTATCCTAAGCAAAGTTTTTGAGCCTTTAACTAACAAACATTTCATTTCTTATCTTGAATCTAATAACTTTCTTTCTGATCATAAATATGGATTTCCATCTTCTCGTTCTATTGCTGATTTGTTAACGGTAATTACTGATTAGTTTTATTGTGGGTTAGATAGATGTGGAGAGGCTAAGGCTCTTGACATTTTAAAGCTTTTGATAAAGTTTGGTATGCTGGTCTTTTTCTTAACCTTTCTTCTTACAATGTATCAAGTAACATCTTTAAGATTATTGCATTCTTCCTTATCAACCATAGTATAAAAGTTGTCCTTAATGAACAGCACTATTTTTCATTTCTAGTAACTTATGGGACACATTAAGGTTCTATCCTTGGTTCTGTTTTGTTTTGTATTTACATTAATGATCTTGCAGACAATTTCATGTCTAAAATAGCTCTTTTTGCTCATAACTCATTTTATATTCTTATCTTGGCAAAAAGTCTTTTCTTTTTGATTGCATAGAACAGGCAGCCAATCTTAAATCTGATTTAATTTCTATAACAGATTGAGGCTCATAGTTGCTTGTAAACTTTAACTCCAACAAAACTCAATTATTTACAGCAAACAATTATTGCAATTCTTATCAAAATTCCTATGTTAATAATCAGCTAATCTATCACTAAGTCCTATCATTTACTATTGAACTTTCTCTTCTAGGCAAACTTTTTAAGTGCAAATAAAGGTGATATTAAAATACTTCAAAAGTTGCTGAACAAAGCTATGAGACTTATTTTAAAATGTGATTGGTATTCACATAGTAAAGAAATGTTGGAGAAAATTGGATGTTTATCAGTCAAGCAGAAAATCATATTTAAGGTCTTGAATTTTGTTCATGAGGTAGTAACTAATCCAAATAATAAAATATATGTGAATATGTTCAGAAAGAACAGTGACTTACATAAATACAATACCAGGAATGCAAATAATTTTCATATGGAAGTGAAAAACAATATAAGTGGGCAGAAACTAATTTTCTGTAATGAACTCAAGCTATATAATTAAATACCTGAAGAAACAAAAAATATAAGAAATAAAAGTTTCAAATCAAGTGAGATAAAATTTATCAAAAATAAATGAACAGATTAAAGGTAGACTTATCAAGGATATAGTGTCATGATTAGTGAATAAACAGGTGTAATTTTCAAATAATGATAAGAAGAAATTAGCATGAAATTGCTATCTTAAACAAGACAAGAACAACAACAATAAGTATAAAATATATATCAAATATTAAATGTAATTAAATCTATTAAATGCAAATAAACAATGTTTATTGTGTCAATATATACTACTAAAACTAATTAAGATAAAATTGAGTAAGATAAAATTATTTAAGAAATTATTATACAGGACTGCTCCAACTGTGTTAACCTTTAAGCATACTAAAATATATAAAAATTCAGTAAATTTCAGTATTAATTGATATTAATATTTAAATCTGATATTAAAATATGAATATATAATTGAATTGCAGTACGAATATATAATTAAATATACAATATAGAATAAGATATTACCATTAAAGTTAAATTAAGTAGCTTAAATAATGAATTTCCCAAATAAAACAACAAACCAGACCCCTGAGTTTTTTTTCCAAAAAAAAAAAACAACATCTAAAACATTGTGCATCATTGTGTGACTTACTGCATTCTCATTTTTCTTTTTTAAATACTGTGCTTTTGTTGTCAGACCTTTGTCTTTTCCTTGTTGAAAATCAAGAGTACTACATGATGAAAAAATGAATGGGACTCCAGTAAATGGAAGATCTTTACTCTCAAAATAGATCTTGTGGTTTTTCTTCATTATATCTAAAGATAAATAAAAATTTAATATTTTTCTGTTTAAAATTTTGGTGATTTATTTAATTTTTTCAACATTAAAAATAAGATATTTAAAAATGTTAAAAAATGTTTTAATACATACACACATACATACATACACACATACATACATATATATATATAAGAAATATGTATATAAGTGATGCAAACCATCAATATTATGTTCCATAGTTCGTTTAAATGCTACAACATAATGCACAGTATGTAACATTTCATGTTCTTTAATTTTGGCATAAACATCTGTTAATGTTGAAAAAATTTGCTGCACTTCACTCCCTGCAGTAGGACTTGACACTTTGACCAACATGTTTAGGTCTTGATCTATTAGTATGGCACATAAAAAAAAAATCACAAATAACCATAAAAGCTACAAATAGATATTGCAACATTTTACACTTTTATGCCCAACAACATTGTTGTTGGACATGGTCGTTGGGTAAATTTTTTGTCTAAGAACAAGTTTAATGATATTTAATGATAATCAACAAGCTGATTATCATTAAACTTGTTCTTAGACACAAAATTTAAAAACTTCAAAAATAAAGATTAAATTACTTAATTAAAGAGTTAAAGGAGAGTTAAAGTATTTTTAATTATATAGTAGTATATTATATACTATATTTTATATTAATATATTATATACTATATAATTAAATAGTAAATGTAAGGAGTACATATAAATCTTACTCAACACATGTTCAAAATCGATGGAAGAACTATCTTCATTCATTTTATTATCAGTTTATGAATATATTCAAATAGTTCAAAAATATGTAAAAATTAAATAAGCAAATCAAGCAGTGACGAGCACTATCAACGCGTTTATCAACTGTTAGTTTGGACATAGTCAATAGAATATAACTATGGTCTGGAAGTCCATTGTTTTATGTTATTGTTCGCGTTTATTTGTGTCACGTGATCTAAGAGTGTGCAAAACAAAGTTCAAATAAACATACCAAGTTCAAACAAACCAACAAATTTCATATAAATAAAGTTAACACAGTTTTATTCAAAGCTACAATCAAGTTATGCCTGGCAGGAATTGTGCTTTTCCAACGTGTACAGTTTCTTATACAAGTAAGCACAGCTTTATGAGCAGCTTCCGAATTCCAACAAGAAAGTGTGAGTCTGACTGGAAAAATTATATCGTTAAAGTTTTAAATAAATACCGTCAAATAGATAAGTCATTACAGGAGAGGATTGATGCTGGTCGTGTTTATATATGTGAACGTCATTTTAAACCTGAAGATATTGAGTTGACAAGTAATTTTATTTTTAATTCGAATGTTGGTTATCGCAATATAATGTTGCTTTTACAAAACGTTAGTATTGGGCTATATATATATATATATATATATATATATATATATATATATATATATATATATATATATATACATATATATATTTGTATTATATATATATATATATATATATATATATATATATATATATATATATATATATATATATATGTATATATATGTATATATATATATGTATATATATATATGTATATATATATATATATATATAATATATATATATATATATATATATATATATATATATATATATATATGTATGTATGTATGGTATGTATATATGTATTTAAGTAATTAAGTATGCACCTTTTGATTCTTAATTACCCTCTGCAAAATGCCTAAGGCTTGTAACATATTTGCAAGGTAAACAGCTAAATGTTTCTAGTTACTGTATGAATCATTAGTTGGGCTATGTGAGAATAACACAACCCAAAGGTTCCTTAGGCAATATATATATATATATATATATATATATATATATATATATATATATATATATATATATATATATATATATATATATATATATATATATATATGTATATATAACTGTTTTTATATGTATATATATATTTATAACTGTTTGTAAATGTCCCTCACTATTGTATATATATATGTGTGTGTGCGTGCAGCTTTTAAAGACAAAATATATTGATTGATATACATTTATAGAATCTGGTCGCAAAACATTGAAACTTGGTTCAGTTCCAACATTGAATTTACCTGTGAAATCACATGAAACCGAAAACCAAAAAAGCTGTTTGTTACAAGCACTGGGAAGACTTTGTGTCTCGTGCAACAAAATTAAAGAATGTATATAACTGGCAGGTTACAATTGACGATAACAAGCAGATTGCTCAGTTTAAAAATTTTGAGATACCATTTTCTCTACCGAAGTGCGAAGTAAATGATTCTTTGGAAGTGCGAAGTAAATGATTCTTTGGAATTTACATGTTTGGTGTTTGGTTGGAAACTTCCAGATGATCATATAATTTACAAAGATTTTAAACGAAGTATGACAAATGTATTGATACAGAACTTACTGCAAAAAATATCATTGCTCAATGTTTGCAAAGGAATTGATCAAGAAATAATAAATTCCAGCGTATTGAATCATGTTATACCTTTTGATTACGACCTTGATACAATATCTCCTATGCAATATAAAGAGTTAAAAAGACATAAAGATTGTAGGGTTTTACATGAAGAAAGTGAATGTGATATTTGTAAAAAAGTTAAAATATTAATGAAAAAACAATTTAAATCTAAAATAAAGATTGATAACACTGCAGCAAAGTTAAAAGCTCCTCTTACAAAAACATCAAAGAAAAGAATTGTTCTTGCATTACAACAAGAACGAGTTAAAACCAAAGAATTAAAAGAAAAAATTTATCGAATGAGAAAAGAAATTGATGCAAAGGGTGTGGAACTCAACAAAGATTTTATTAATGATATAAATCACATTATGGATTCCAACAACCAGAATATGACTCCATTTATGAAATTATTCTGGGAAGAGCAAAAAAAAGCTTCTACTAATCAGAAGAGTTTAAAATATCATCCTATGATTATCAGATTCTGCTTATCCCTTTTCATGAAATCAGCATCAGCATATGATGAACTTAGGAATTCCATGATACTCACTCTGCCAAGTCGGAGGACTCTTAGTGATTATAAAAATGCAATACGTCCATCAGTCGGGTTCAATCCTAATGTAATTGAAGAACTCAAACTGATCACTAACAACTTAAATGATGTTCAAAGATTTATAGTACTCTCTTTTGATGAAATCAAAATTAGTGAAAATTTAGTGTATGACAAGCACTCAAATGAGCTTATTGGCTTTGTTGATCTTGGAGATCCGCATCTAAATTATAGCACTTTCAAAGACATTGATGACCTTGCTTCTCACTGCTTAGTTTACTATATTAGAGGTGTTGCTTCCGATTTAAAGTTTGCTTTGGCATATTTTGCTACTAAAGGTGTTACTGCAAGTCAAATTATGTCTACTTTTTGGAAAGCAGTGTCTGTGTTGGAATTAGAGTGTGCTCTTAAAGTAATTGCTGCTGTGTCTGATGGTGCTTCTCCAAATCGACTGTTCTACAAAATGCACAAAGGGATGGATAACATTGAATCATTTGTTGTGTACCGTTCAAAAAATATATTTGCAGACCGCTACATATGTATTTTTTCTGATGCACCACATCTTATAAAAACATTTAGAAATTCATTGCATCATTCTGGAGATAGTGAAAATCATACACGTAATTTATGGAAAGAACAAAAAGTTATATGGAGTTATTTCGTGAAATTAGTGAATGATGATATTTTCAGAGATTTAAATTTGCTGCCTAAATTGACCTTAGAGCATGTTCAATTAAATTCTTTTTCTGTTATGAATGTTCGATTAGCAGCTCAAATTCTTAGCAAAAGCGTTTCAAATGTCTTACGCTTAAAGTATCCCACAGAAACCCATGTAACAGCACAGATATGTGAATTAATGGATAAATTTTTTGATTGTACGATTACTCGAAATCAAAAGAAAGGCATTCTGAAAAGAAAAGAATTTTTGTTGCCCTACCGCAATGTTAACGATGCTCGCTTTGATTGGCTCAAGAACACTTTTCTAAAATACTTTGAAACTTGGCAAGAAAATATTAAAAATAGAACTGGGAATTTCCATCGGGATGAACGTGAAAAAATGTTTATTTCATTACAAACATAAGAAGGTCTCCATATAACTGTGAATTCTTTAATTGAAGTTACCAAGTTTTTATTAACTAGCGGAATACCTTTCGTATTGACTGAACGTTTTACCCAAGATGTCCTGGAGGAATACTTTGGGAGGCATCGCAGCCTTGGTCGCCGAAATGATAACCCTACCCTCATTCAGTTGGGATACCAATCAAATGCTATCAGAATGCAACGATCTGTAGCACCTGTTACTGGAAATACCATAGGAGCTCATATACAAAAGCGTAAAGTATCGTGGAGAATCGCTTCTGGTGAACCATTAGGAAAAAGGTGTAAGAGCAAGAAAAAAAAAACAACAGAATCTGAGAACATATGAAAATAATTGATGATATATTTTTAAATACATAATTTTATTAATAAATAAACACATAACAAGTGGCATATACCATGCTTGTTACTCTTTGGATTGTTTTTTAAGAGTTTTACGAAGACCACCCTTATTATTTTTTTGTTTCAATTTTAGTTTATATTTGGTGGTAATGTCTTTAGCCAAAGAAAATGCTCGCACTCAAAAATAAAGTTTGACCATATTTTCTAAAAGGTTTTTACTAACATCATTATCAATGTCAACTCCACATCCTGTTAAGATAGAGTTATAAAAGCTCACTACTTCTGTATCTTTCAGTAGTTCCATAGTCATCCTGTTAATATCAATTTCTTGCAAATGATTAATATTTGTTTCATTTCGAAATTGAATTTCAGCTTTTACAAATATTTGCTGGCATTCATTATTAACAGCTGTTAGTCCACCACGATTTTGTGCCTCAATCAATTCCTGATCTGTAGAATTTTTGCTAATAGCGTTATTTAATATTTTTATTATATCTTGATTTTCATTGGATTTATAATTCAGGCTATTTTTCGATTTCTTAATGAACTTTCTGACAACATACCCAGCCAGATATTGCAAGGCACCAATTTCATCATTTTTTATATTTTTTATTTGTTTTGCTTCCTTGTTGGGCATTCTTTTGAAGTATGCAAGCACCTTGTCAGCCAGTTGTGTTGCTAAAAGAGTACTATTGGGTTTTCCTAATTCAGGAAAGTAAACATCTGCATTGATTACTATTTTATTATAAAAGCTGGAATAATAACTCTCTGCATTGTTTGTATTAATCAAAATGTCATAAATCTGTTTTACATCTGCGTAAAGTGCTTCTGTTAATATGAAGTTATAACACTTGAAACATTCTCGTCGAGTTAAGTTGTAACAGTTATCCTCAGATAGATTTTTTTGTGACTCCAGAACTAAATCACTTAGTATTATGCTACTCATTGTATTTCTACTTGTATCAAAGGTCTCTTTTAGTTGTAAATGTTTACAGTTTCGGTGACGAGTAAGTCCCCCTTTTGATTTACAAATGTTCCCACAGTCGTCGCACTTAAAACTGCCTGGTGTTGACTCCTATAAGAAAAGAAATC